TCAAAATAAATCAAAATATTTTGAAAATGTTATCGTGTATAGAAAATGCAAATATAAACAACCAGTGAAAATTTCATGTATTTACGGTCATTTGTTTTAAAGTTACACCAAAAACCAAATTAGATTTTGTCAAAAACCGATTTTGCGTAAAAATTCCCGTTTTTCCTTAATGTTTATGTTGGTTTTCCCGGCGCTTGTGAACACTATTGGGAAATTTCATGTATTTACAATCATTTGTTTTAGAGTTACACCAAAAGCCAAAATCGTTCGTCAAAAACCATTTTCCTTAATTTGTATGTTTTTTTCCCTGCGCTTTTGACCTCCCCAGTGCACCAACGATATTCACTTTCCAATCGAACAAGATACTGAAGTCGAAAATCGAAGCATTATTTCGACTACTTATCGTGTACACAGACACAAAAATTAAAAATTAAAAAAAAACACACATCATTGTAAAATCAATACATTCATCGTTTCACTCAGAAGCTAAAATAAAAAAACACACATCATTGTAAAATCAATACATTCATCGTTCCACTCTGCAGAATCTAAAATTCAATTTTATTTTTAGATAACAAAATAATAATTTCTTATAGTTTTATTGTTTTTTTTAGCTCTATAACTAGAAGGGCAAAGGCATAATATTATAGTTGATTTTTAAGTCTTTTTTAATGTTTTTTTTTTTTTTAAATTGGTACACAAAACGGTTATTATCTATTTATCTATGGCGTTTTCAGTCTGTTGTCGTTTTTGATCAATTAGCCCCTCACGAACAACTGGACATGATTACGACTTCTGCGGTATCAACGAGGGGGTCCGTCTATAGATATAGAACAATGTTAATATCATTTAGGTTAGGTTAGGAACAATTTTAATATCATTGGAAAGTGAATATCGTTGGTGCATTGGGGAGGTCAAAATTTAAAATTCGCAATAATTTTCAAAAGCGCCAAGAAAAACAAAAGAAAAATTAAGGAAAAACGGGAATTTTTACGCAAAATCGATTTTGGTTTTTGGTGTAACTTTAAAACAAATGACCGTAGATACATGAAATTTTCAGTGGTTGTTTATATTTGCATTTTCTATACACGATAACATTTTCAAAATATTTTGATTTATTTTGAACTGTTTAGGGACATTTTCAGTTTCCAATTTTATTAGTTTTTTTTTTTTATGAATATCAATAAAAATTTATTTGTTGAGTAAAAATACTTGAAAATGTAATACAAGGCTCCTACTATATTGTTTCAAAGACAGATGAAAATATTAAAAATCGTTAGTCACAGTTCAAAAAATGACAAAATATGGAAAAATCACGAACATTTTCAAATTATTTCTAGTTAGAAATTCATAAAAATTTTGCTTTTTAAATCTAAGATATGAAAGTGTAATACAAAATTCCTTATAAGATTTCCTACATTTATCAAAAAAAAAATTCTATAAGAAAGTCAAATTAAATTTTTATGAGCGTTTGAAATTCAAATTTTTACAACATTGGATATTCACTCGATTTCTCATGTGCCGATTTCCTTATTTTGTTGTAATTCAAAAAAGAATTACTGTAGATACATGAAAATTTCACTGAATGTTTATATTAGCATTTCCTAAACACCATACAATTTTGAAAATATTTTGACTCTTTTTGAGCCGTTTACGGACATTTTCAGTTTTCTATTTTTTTAGTTTTTTTTTCCTATAAATATCAATAAAGTAATATCTGTTGGGCCAAAAAGTGTAAAAAATTAATACAAGGCTCCTGATATATTGTTACAATAGCAATTGAAAAATATTAAAAATACATAGGCATAATTTTTTTTTATAAGCATTTAAAGATCGCATTTTGACAACATTTATCAATCATCGTAATTAATAAATTATAAAATGTTCAGTTTTTATAGCTAAGGATTGAAAATTTAAAAAAAAGATTCTCATAAATGGTTCATACTGTAACCAAAAAATCTGAAAAATATATGAACACAGTTATTTTTTACAGACATTTTAAATTCAAATTTGGACGATCTTGGGTTTTTTGTTGTAATTTAAAAATATTATTCGGGGATATATGAAACTGAAAAATCAAAATATTATGGCCTATCCATACAATCTACCATAGTACAAGGAATAAGAAGTATGCTCAATGATAAGACTGTGCATATTATAAGGGGCATTGAATAATTTATTCATAAATTCCCTCGTAAATTCCATATAATTTAATACCATAGATAAGTATATAATATGTCTTATACCTAGACTGACATACCGTCTCCGCTCAGAATCGTTTTTCTTATACAATGATATTATATCATTGAATTCAAGTTTAATACCATCCATTATACAGTGACCCACTTGTAACCTACAGTACAGCAGAGCGACATCCACTTCCCCACCTTTTTTTTTTTTTAAAATTATAATATTATAATATATATTTTATAATAGTATAATATTATAATAACTATTGTAATGATTAAATATTTGTTTGTATATACATATTCATACGTCTTATTTAATAATATTGAATTTAGTAATTCATCTTGTGTATTTAACTTTGAAATAATTTTTATAAAAGCTTCTTTGTCGAATTTAAATTTTTTATTTCATCTAAATGAATGGGTTTTGGATAACGTTGATTAAGTGTAATATTGCAACATGAAACATTTAAAATACTTAAATCTAAAGGTAGTGTTGCAAAAGACGATTCTACTGTTTGCTCTGTTATTAATACGCCTTTAGTAGTATGAGCTTGACACCCACCTTTCAGAAATAATTTTCCAGAACTTTTCAATGTAATTTTACGAATAAAAGATCGATTATTACAAATTATTGTAATTGTTGTAGGCTTTTCACACACAAAGTACCAATTATTTTTGAAAAACGATGGGTACCATAATTCTTTTTTAAATTCCATGATATAAGTATCACATTGCGTAGGTTTAGTTAAAGCATTTTTTAATATTCCTGTTATACAAGTAGGATCAGTATCACTATTGTGTAACATTTCATTGAAACCGCAAACAAAAATGTCGGCAACTATTAAACAGTTATTGATATTTGACCAAATAAAATATTTTGTCAACACATCATCTGTTAATAAATACGTTGGATTTTCAGCGATATGTATAAATTGTCCGTGTTCATTAATTGGAACGTATATTGGTATAATATAATACAATTTAAAAATTTCGCCGCTACATAGTGGAATTTTTATTGAAAATATTATTCTATCGTTCATTGGGTGAAGGTCTATATGTAATATTTTGTATATTTCTTGTATATTAGTTTCATTAAATTTGATAGGGATTTGTAAATTTTCAGGTAGAATATTTTCTATTTGTTTTATTTCTGACAACAACTGATCTGGTGTAATTATAAAAACATCTAATTTATTTGTTTGAACGTTTGATATCATTCTTTGTAACCTCTAAAAATAAAATTAACCTACTAAAATATAATATTTAGATATTTAGGTAATACTAGTTTAGGTTACAGTTATATATTAGATAATATTATTTACTGTATTGAATACATTCTTTACGAAGTAAGTATTTAATAATGCAATAAATATAAGCCGCGTAAACGTACGCTCGAATATTAAAAATATTACGGCGGTAATGCGGTATAATATACGTGTATGCATTTTATATTTATGTGATCCGCCACAGACGAAGGTTGATAAAATAATAAACATCGCTCCCGAATGAGCAAAATTGTCGGCCAGCCGCCGACTGTGAGTAGTGGGCGCGGCTTAAGCGTCGCGTGCTTGCGGATCGCGAAAACACCTAACAGCGCGTTCTCTCGGTCGTTGTATACGTTTCGCTTTCGGTGTGGCGTCCTCTTAAAATACAAATATTATAGGTAAATAGGTAATAGGTATTATAATAATACAATTCTGCAATTACCTACAGATTTATAATTTATCTTTATTAAGTACTTACCTAGTTAGTTGTTAAAATCCAAAACAATATTATTATTTTTTTCATAAAAGGGGTAATGAGAGTAGGTACCTAATTTTATTTTATAAAACAAGTAAAAATGTTACATAATTATAAAATCTTAAAATTATTGTTGTAGTAAAAAAAAATTCCTTTATAATTTTATAAGAATAATAAAAGGTATAGTTGTATAACTTAAAAGCTAATATAATATTTTACATTTTATAAAATACAGTAAAAATTTTTTAAAATATCTTTATATTAAAATCTTTATAAAAAGTTCTAAGGACAATATTAATAATAATTATAATAATTAACAATTACCAAACAATTGTACAAATCAAATATTATTTTTTTTTCATAAAATATTTTAACCATATGTATACCTAGGTAAATATTTTTTATAAAGTTAAATAAAGAAAAATAATACATCGTAAAACCATACAATTTTAACACTGCAAAATAAAAGAAAACCTAACCTATCAGAACTAAAAAAAATAATACAATTAATACGCACATATAATATGTACCAACACCGGGTAACACCATTTTATTATAACATACCTATTTACATGCCAACTAATAAATTAGGTACTTACATAATATTATGTTAAGCTTAAACATTTTTCAAAATTTTTAATTTATTCACTGTTTGTACACTAGAACGTCCTTTCAAATGTTTAGATGTCCAATTAAAATGCCTTAATAATTTACAAATTATTAATTTTTGGATAATAAAATCAATATGTTGATCACAGTTTGGATCAAAATTTAAATCAGAAATCAATTCATTTTTTATTTTTAGTTGGATGGTTGCACACAATTTTCTTTTATGAGGATTTAGTTCTACAAAATCTTTTAAACACTAATTTTGTGCTGTAGAAACAATGTTTATAAATAAATCAGAAGGCTTTTTGAGACTACTTCTTTCAATATCGGTACTTTCAAATTGTTTGTAAAAAATTAAATACTCTTGGTCATCAAACAAAAAATCGTTACTTTTTAAAATTATTAATTCACATTTAGTGCATTTAAATTGATCTATACATTTTTTGCCAAATATCCAGCAAACTATGTATTTGAACAGGTTTCTAATGTTATTTGTTCTTCTTTATTATTGAGACATTGATTGAAATCACCCTCCTCTTCCGAAGATACAAATGAGTCTGAAACTGATTCAACTAAAGTATCTGTATCTGTGTTAGGTGTAGAAATCGTTGCGTTCTGTGAACCAGGATCAAATAAATTGTAATCAAAATCATTTTCACAATTTGATGACTCAGTGGCTTTCATGAGATTATGTTTTGCTTGAAACCGAAATGATGTTTTAAAGGTTCGAGCAGTCGGGTTTCTATTGAAACCTTCACGCTGTCGAAAAACTGAAAAAGTATTTTCTATGATATCTTGGTTTAAACCGCTAGTAAGAAGATATTTAAAACCTAAATTTTTTTGTTGTCTATAAATCATTATGATTGCGTTTATGCTCCATATCATGGCGTCGAAACACGGAAGAACTTTACCATACACTTTTATAGGTTGTATTAACTCCAGCTGTGTACACCATTCTTTAGCTTTCATTAAACAATTAAGTATATAAGGTTTGTCGTCATTTAAAACACAAGAGTATATGTTGGAACTGTATAATGCTTTAATTGTACTATGCTATTTAGGCAGTCGAATAAATTATTTAATTATTGAACAAAATCAGCGGTTGCGGCGGCAGTTTTTGATTTTATTTGACCTGTAGCAATGCATGTTTTTAAAACAGCTGCTACTGAATTACTAAAGACTTGAAGAGCAAGCTTACAATTCATTTTTTGAAACGTATTTGGGTTCATATGACTGTCAGTTAGTTTTAAAAGGGCTCTACTAGTATTACTTGTTTTATCAATATTATAAGCCAACTTAATATCTGAAAAAGATACTTCTTGACCTTTATATTTGAAATTATATTTCAAAAAATTTTTTCTGAAATTTTTGAAAATATGCGGTACATCAAAAATAGAATAAATAGTTTTACCTTTAATTTCAACAAATGGTTTTTCTTTGCAACAACCTAAGTGGTTTAGAGCTGAATAATTATTGGAGCCTTGATCACAAACGAGAGCCACAATATTAAAACCCAGATCTGTACATTTTCCGATTACATCTACAATTAAATCTTTTAATATTGAACTACTCATTGATGAACCCGATAAAAAATAAGCCAATGGTAATTTCCAATTACTATAAAGTCCTCGATCAACAAAAACCATGGCCTGCGTAGCCAATTTATTCGTTCTACCTTTGTGTCCTAAATCTTCAAACCCTTCAACCATATCTAAATACTTAGAATATTCTAAAAAAGATTTTATTTTCATTTCATCAAATATTAAAACACAGTGTTTTTCTTCATCTGACATTGTTTCCAACTTATTTTTAATTTGCTTTAACCAGAGTGAATTAAAACCGGGACAAAATTTAGACTTCCCTATCCACCTACGTAACGTAGTTTCACCTGGTAAAATTATTTGTTGGTTATTTCTAAGAAATTTGTATGTAGCCGGTGATTTATAGTATAAATTTATAGCAACATTTTTTTCAGCTAGTGTCTAGGGTTTCGTTGAATTACGTTTAAGAAACATTTGCATTTCTGCTATGACTTTTGATCCAAAACTTGAAAATGTAATATTATTTTTAAAAGTATGTAAATTATATTTATTACGAGAAACATGTATTTTTTTTTTAATTTACTTATAGTAGATGATTTATTTTTTAACAGTATATTTTTTTTTCGAATTAAGTCTTCAAGATGTTTTTTTGACTTTTTTTGGGCTTTGTTCGATAGGAAAGAGAACAGTTTTTGCCTTGTTTATTCGACGTTCTTGAGTACTAATTGGTGAAGGCATATCTATAAATGATTTGATCATAGAACTTGTTGACGAAGAACATTCATAAGTTAAAATTGGCGAAGACGGTGATGCATTTAATGTAGCTGGAAGATGATGAGATTCGATAGGTGTTCTTGGACATTTTGGTTGGAGTTTTAACGTGTAAATTTGGAGGTTCGCAGTCTTTAAATTCGTTAAAAGATGAAATTGGAATGTATTGTTCCACATTAACTGGTAATTCAGTAAAATCGTACTTCATTGGAACTGCTTTTTGTTTTAGTCTTTGTTGTGTTTCAATATTATTAAAATCCGTGGGTTTAAAATGTAAATTACATACATGGCGGTTATTCAGTTGTTCTAACGTTAAATCCACCAATTTAATATTCCCTCAGTCAGAAAAATTGGGAAATATTTCAATTTAGCGTATTGGTGTATTTTCCTATCTACTACATTCGTTAAATTTTAATTATATGTTTAAGATAACGTGGTACCCGCATATGTTGTCTCCGTCTTACAAGTGTGTAACATAGCAATTTGTACGTTCAATAGATCACGTTTAGCTCCTTTAGTTTAAAAAATATAGTACCTACATTTATAGGTAAGATTATTATCTAGGCAACGTCATGGCTTTTTATTATATTTTAATTTTAAAGCGAGTTCTGACTAGTATTTTATGACGTACAAACAATTTACAATTTTAAAATACTCACTACTCACTTCAAAATTAAAATATAATAAATTGCCAATGAGGTTGCCTAGATAATATTCTTACTTTTAAATTTTATAAAAGGTCAATTCACTCTAATTTTTATACTTACGGAGCTACACGTGTTCCGTTGAGTGGAAAATTTGACATTCTATACGCACTTGCACAGAGAAAACACGTCATGCGTGTATCACAAACAAAAATCGCGTTAAAAATTAAAATTATTTCATGATCAAAAATACCCGTTTTTTTTATCTTTTTTTAAGTAATTTTTAGGATTTAAAAATTTAAGATATGAGAAATAAGACTTCAAATTTTTAATTTTGATCATAAGTGTTTTTACTATAAAACCACTCAGTAAACCATATTCATTGAACGCTCAAACATGTTTTTAAATTCATTTTTAACGCGATATTTGTTTATGACATTAAAAATGAAATATACCTAGTACCTATATTTTAGTGCTCGAATTCATTTTTATTTTAATAAATGAGAAGTAAAATAATATTTACTGATTGTTGTTAATGTCATTGGTATTGGACATTGGTGTATTATTTATTTTCTAATGTTGATGCTGCAGTGAGTGCAGCCACGAGTTATGTTGAGATTAATCATATGTCCATTACTCAAATTTAGATAATATAGAGTCCCCTTTCTTTTATTTTTCCAATTCCAGCACTGGTATATTATATAAAATACTTACAAATTAAATGTATTGATCTATACAATTTTAAATTTTTAAAAAGAATAATAATTTAATTTTTAAATTCGATTTTAATTCAACTAACCTGACTGCTTAACCCATTCTTTTGCCGGTCTTGATTTTTGGGAAAACGGAATAACTTGGTATTTTTATCATACCGTTTACTTTTGCCACAGTTAAAAAACATACATTTATTGCCTTTCGTAGCCATGATGATATTAATAATTAATGAAATATAAATTGACGAAAGAGTTGGCAATTTTGCCTTCGCTGCGCTCACAGAATTGTAACTTGTGGTTTACTGATTTGTGAATGTTTGAATATTATAAATAATAATGTCATAATATTATTGTCGTTGTTTTGTATTATATTGATATTTACGTTATATTATTATGCACGTATTTCTGGAATAGGCATTAAAATAGATTTTTGTTTACAGCCGTCAGCCTCTATAGAGTTTGTGAGCGTTGACGATTGTTTGTATTAATATTAATTATTATTTCATTATTCATATTTTATTCCGTATTGTAATTTATTTTTAGTATAAACGGGCATATCGGCATATCACACGATAACGCCGGCCGTGTCCCCGTGTAGCGAGCAAAAATATTTTCGTTTGTACGATTTTTTTTTTTGAAAAACGATAATTATTTAAGTACTTTACGATAATGTTAGTTTGAAAGTCTGGCAACACTGCGTTGTTCTATCAATGTGTGTGTTTCCATATCACATATACTCGTGGGCTATCTATAGTATATTTAATCTATGATTGTACCCACTATTATGATTATTTGATATATTTTGTATAAGTAATAACAGGGGCGCACCCAGGATTTTTTTTTGGGGAGGGCTAAATTCACATAATTTTAATATTAATAGGTAGTATTTATTTTTAAATATGTACAGAAATCTTTAAGCTTTTTTACAATCTTTTACTAGCAAATTTTTTTTATTTTTGTCCCGGTTTTAAGTGTCACCGTAGCCTTGATGTTATACCTGTAAAACATAAATATTATTTATTTAATTATGAATAATATAATGATTATTTTTTATAAGTCTAACCTTTTAAATTATAAAGTTGAGACGCCTTGGTCCTTTTTTCCCCAATACTGAGAGTACTTCTGAAGTTTGAACATCTATTTCTCTGTGAATATGAAGCATAGCTAATCCATTCAGTCGATTCTGACTCATTGTATTTCTCAAGTATGTTTTTATTCTTCTCAAAGTGGAAAATGATCTTTCTGTTGTACTGGTCGAAACAGGCAATGTTGAGAATATTTTTAAAAGTGTAAATATAGTTTCAAATAGAGTATCATTACACAAATTTAATGCATCGATTGCATTATGTGGTAATGAATGATTTGGGCATTGGAATTTTTGATACCATAAATCAAATTCGGCTACTGCAGCGTTAACACCATTTTCTGGTATATCATTTTTATAAAATTCTAAAAGTTTTAAATACTGTGATTTTTCTGTTTGATTAGGAGAATTTCCAGTTGGTAAAAGACACTTAAAACTTTTAATAATACATTTATGCTTTAAAAATCGGTCGGATATATTATTTATAAAAGAATCTAGCCATGGAATAAAAATGGCACGTCTATAATATTCTTCTTCATTTTCTGCTGGTACATTGCATCGTTTGGTTTGATTTTTTGTTAATCTGGGCATAGTAATTGTTAGTTCTAAAGCATTAGCAATTTCGTTTGCTTCGTCGAAAATTATTTTAAATTCATTTTCAACATTACTTCGTATCTCACGAAGAACGAATACTACACCGTCTACGTTATTCAAAGCCTCTGAAATATCTAAATCACTCAATTGAAGAATTTTACTGATTGGTAAAGTATAACTTAAAAGTTTCTCTGCACACAATAGTGAAATAATAAAACTTGATTGTCGAATTCCACTTAACAGTAAGAACGCATTAGACGATGAGTCTGTACAATTCCATGACTGTATTTCTTCTAAAGCTGCAACTACAGGCAACAACATTTGTTTCATTATAATAACCGAATCATGACGTTCAACCCATCTGGTTGGACAAAGTTGCTTTAATTTCGTTTTATTTGAATTATAAGTTGATGTTTCGATATTATTTTGAAGGACATTTTGCCGTTTCGGGGTATTAAAAAATGTATATATTTTTTGGATAATGCCAAAAGCATTTCTAATTGGAACTACTTCAGCTGCATTTGATAAAGCTAAGTTTAAACTATGTGAAACGCAATGTACGTATATTGCAGTTGGGTATTTATTTGAAATAAACGCCTGCACGCCTTTAAATTGGCCGCTCATAGAAGAAGCACCATCATAGCCTTGCCCACGTAAAAAGTTTAAATCAATCCCAACATTGTTTAATGTTTCTAAAAGAACATCTGCCAAGTTTTGACCTGTTGTAGACTGAACAGGAACAAATTTCAAAAATTGTTCAACAATTTTGTACTCATTATTGCTCATTAATTCAACAAATCGCACACATAAAGAAAATTGTTCTACGGTTGATACGTCTGTAGTTTCATCAGCCAAGACAGAAAAAAATTTAGCTTTATTGATTTTAGTGACTAGTTTTTGAATAATTATTTCATTACATGCTTCAATAATTTGATTTTGTATATTCCAACTTATATAAGTAGCATTTTTACCACAAGTTTCAAAATGCTTTTTTAAATTTTCATCACCTGATTCTATTCTAGCCCTTAATATAGCACGGAAATTACCCTCATTTTTATTGGGCTCTATTTTTGTATCAAAAACTCCATAATCTTCATGCGATCTTAAAGACAAATTTTGACGCCCACATAAAATTACTGTTTTTATAATTGGTTTAAGTTTCTCCGAATTCTCTAAGGCTTGTTTTTGTGAATCTTTATCAATTTGTTTATTGATTGGTAACAATTTTCCACTCATAATATCAATAAAAGTATCATATTTTAAAGTAGCATCTTTATGATAGTTTAAAAGTAAATGTTTTTCAAATCGTTCTAAAGCATTTTTCCAATTATTGTATCCTGTTTTAACTAATTGATTAAGCGCTTGCGAAGAACAGTGGCCAGCATTTGAAGGGGCAAATAAAACACACATCTTACAATAGACACTATTTTCCAAATTCGAATAAGCCAACCATTTATATTTTATTAACCAAAATCGATTAAATTTTCTATTTTGAGAACCTATTTGTTGAGTTTTAAAAGTATAACTATTATCGGGAACCCACATATTTTTAATAAAATTAATTTTTTCATGGTCACTAATTTTTTTGTTTACATATAAAGATATATCATATTTTGGTACTATGTTATTACCGTCATTTGGTTGAACATTACATTCATTTGATGTAGCTGTAGCATCATTATTTATTGCCGATGAACTGTCTATAGCAACTGATCCTTTTTGGACTTCTGCAGGTGTGGTGTGTGACCCAACTTTAAAATAATTTAATAATGATCCAGAATGATTACGTTTCATTATATTAAAATTTTAAATCCACTTATTTGAATAAACAAAAAACAATTAACAATTAAAAATGAATAAATAAATAAATATAAGCTCGCGAAAAACCAACGATGTCGACTTGAACAGTTGTACGACAGTCGACAATACTAGTTAATCTGCTAAATAAGTAATAAAATGAAAGTGGAGTTTGTTAACGCAAAGATACCTGCAGTTTGCGATAATCTAAATTATATCGATAAAAATGTATAATCTAGACGTTTCCGGTATCCTACACAGTACACAGTTTCAACTAACGACGTCGCGACGATAATAATAGACAACAGAGGTCTCTCCCGGGGCCCGGAATGACAGTTATAAATATAATAAAATTATAAAATCAATGATATAATATAATATTATGTTATACCTAATGTTTCAATTTCGATAGTTGATAATTTTTTTTTATAACAATTTAAAGTAAAATGTCAATTTGTCAATAAACCTAATAAAATTATCAAAATGTTTGGGGCTAGCCATTTGGGGGGGGCTAAAGCCCGTTAGCCACCCCCTTGGGTGCGCCCTTGAGTAATAATAAACTAAATTGTTTTGTTATAGGTGAAGCAACCGAAAATTCATAAGGCTGATAGATAGAATATTTGATTTCCTCAATTCCTGTAATCCACAAATCCACAAAGTATCATTGTTTTTATTTATTGGTTCATAGTAAATTCACAAGTAACAAACACATTTTTCAAAGCTTAACATTACTTCTTTTAAGTTAAATTGTTAATGAATAGTAATTAATAAGTAAATAGTAATACAAAAAAAAAAAAAAAATTCAATAGTAATTAATAATACAAAATAGTAAACAGATGTTTTTCAGACTTTTGTCCATGTCAAAAAAATACATATGATCATTAGATGAATGAACATATAAAACTTCACCACTTGAATTATTCAATGAGTCCCTAATTAAATTGCCTTCAAGTGGAGAAAGAGGAGGATTAATGTTTGGTTTTTTTTCTATTATTTGAATAAAATCTGGTTTGCTTTTCTATGTGTTTTACATTGATAGTTTTAGTAGGTACATTATCAGTTGATTTATTCGTTTCTTTTGAAATTATTGTAAGTATCTTATCACAATGCTTTAAAATGTTATGTTGGCTTTCTATACCTAATGTTGCTCCGCTGTAAATGCCTAAGGCCTAACATTGATTCCATTTTATTATTTATTTCCTTGTGTAAATCTATACTATTTGTCTCTCTATTATTTAAAATTTCTCTTCTCAGTTTATCAATTTCATCTGTATTAGACGTATTTACATTAGATAATGATTGAACTATTAAAACATCTAATTTGGCGATCGCATGGATGTGCTTACAAATATTTAAGTATATAATATTGTCCATACACGAACATTTAAACATGTGAACACAAATTTCACAATATTCACAACGTAAAACACAGTCGCTGCAAGGTAAATTATTTTTTTCGATAGTATATTTTGTTTTAGGATCAGTTTGTGAATTAACCATCCATGTGAAGCTGTTAACTTTTAAAATCATATCCGACTTAACATGAGCACTTTTATTATGACTGGCGATAATTTGTAATATTTTGGATGACCTTTTTTGTTTTGAAATCTTAATGAACCTTTCAAACATTTGTCATGCACCAACAACATAACTGCATTAATGGCTAAATCGAGTCTTCTGCATTGCTTTCATTCTACGCTGTATCTAGTGTGGAAGTTTCATGGAATTGTAAAAAATACAATTGCAGGTGTACTCATTTGTAATTTGAAGAGTATTACTTTTGTCTTCATACTCGAATTGTTTTTTTAAAAAACTAAATGCATACGGCGTTAAAAGAGAATAATATTTTTGCAGTTCAGGAATTTGTGGCATCTGAATAGGCTGTTTCTGGATTGAGTTTCCCATTGAAACTCTCTAATCTGTTATTTGTTTTGTTCATGAAATTCCCTGTCATGTAAGTCAGGCCTATAACCCATTCATCCCTTATTCCATGCCAGTTTTTATTATAATATTCGATGACAGTTTCTGGTGCTACAGTCTTCAGGTGCTGATATAAATTGTTATATTCCAGTTCTGACTTACAGTAAATGATATTTTGAATGATTTCTTTTACAGTGTCCCTTTCATTGGGCGTGATATTCCGTTTATCACACGTAATTTCACGATTAAATGTTCTTAGTGTATGGAACAAACATATTGTGAGTGCAGTATTAGGAAAGACTTGCTTAATAACATTTCTTTCTTTCATGTCCTTGTACCCGTGGTTTAGCCGATATTGGGTTATATTTTTTGAAAGTTTCAAAAAACCAGCACAGGGTTATTTCTTCCTCATTCAATAGTAATCCAATTGCTGCTATTTCACTCTAAAAACATTATCGGAAAATGATTAGTATTTACTTGATATTATATAATTTTGTAATAATTTGAAATTGTAATAAAATATTAAAATATTACTTCAGGATATGCTTCGAATGATTCAGTCATAAAACTGTCCTGTATAAAAATACCATTGAGGTTATTTTCCTCATCTGTTGATATTTCAACAGAACAATTATATTTAGTCTTTAATTTATTGACAGTTTCAACTAAATTGTTGTTTGAATAATTTTTTTATTTAAAACATAAAATATTAATAGTTAAAGAAATATTTACTCTGAAAAAAACCACTAAATTGAATTATAATTTTTTCTTACTGCCTGTAGTATGTATGTTTGATAAATCTTTCAAGGTAACAATTTTTCCACTTTCATTCATTATTTTACGTTGGATCATTTTTTTATTTGCCTTAAGGTCCATTAGCTCCAATACAACTGCCTTACTTTCGGGTGTGATTTTTCTTTGATTAAGAAGATGACTATATTATACCTGGGAAACCTCATGATTGTGGTCCTCTGTCATTTTTGTTATTACCAGGGCTTTTCCATCATCTGACGCTTTCAAATATATTCCAGCTTCACAGCCTTGGCGCATTGGACTTTAAACATTTTAATAATTTAAATTTTGGATTTTACAACTTAGTAATAAATATTTAGTTGCTAGTAACTAAGTAATAAAATAAATGTACTTACGATGTGGAACGTTTGTTCAGTGTATTTTTATGTATTTTTAACTCTTGAGGAATAATTGCTCGCAAAATATTGACCAAAATCTGCAGTATCTGTATTATTTTTTAATTCTTCAATGACCTTTGTTAATTCTATGTAAAATTTGTTTTCATCAGTTTCGTACATTAAAGATTTTAACGATTTATACACCATTGATTTTTTTTCTTGTGAGTGAATTTTGGAAAGGTTTTTATTCCAATTTTTTAGTACGGGCCAAGTACATAATAGTTGTTTAGAAACCGGACCCATAATAGATTGCCATGCGTTGTAAAATGCAGGTTCATCGTCAGACATAAAAACATTTTCTTTGATAAGTCCTACTACACGCTGGATGCATTCAAAAAATAATTTATATGTAGATGTATCTGATTTATTTGTAAAACAAAATTCAACAGGAAAACCATTTCCATAATTGTCTACTACAAGTAAAGTATACAACTGAAAGTTATAACTGTTTAAACCATGTGTTCCGTCTATACATATTTTATCACATCCAAATTTTTTTAACATTTCAGCTTGGTATTCAGTCATTAAAATTAAACAAAAATCATCCCGAATCAAATGTGTTGTGGAATCTTCTCCTTGATGCTTAAAATATAACACTGGATTTGTCTCACCTTTTTCTTTTATTTTCTCTACACACAGGCGAACACTAACAAAATCATTTTCATTCATTTTTGTAGAATAATTATCAATTTTAAAATCACGTTTAATATTATGTAAATCTCGTTTTTCTAATAAATGGATTCTTTTAAAATCAATTAAAGTAGCAGAATTTCGAATGTCATTTAAAACTCGTTGAACCGTTACACCCATACCTAGTTTTCCTAAAACAATTTAAACATAAATATTTTTAAACTGTGATTGGTTACTTTTAGGATAAGCTACAAGTAAAAAGGTATTTATCCTAATACTTTTTAATTTTTAATGTGTACTCAAAAGTAAATCAATCATATTTTTTGCATTTTATTATAAGTACCTGCTAATTCACATCTGTCTTCAGCATGTAATCTTTGTTTCTCTATTTCATTATCATGAAATAAATGAGTACTGGTTTATACCGTCAAAATATTTTCAAAACTTGGTAGTTAATAGAAAATGAAAATATAAACATTCGGTGAAATATTCATGTATCTACAATTATTCGTTTTTGAATTACAAAAAATAACAAAATCGCTACATGAGAAATCGAGTGAATATCCAATTTTGTAAAAATATGAACTGCAAGGACGGTCACTGGTCAGATGATGTTATTGTAAATAAAGTAACTGATATGTAACCTATTTACGTGGAACATTGTTTTTAATGTTCAATCCTTAGATATAAAAGTTGAAAATTTTATACATTTAGAGTTGGGTACACCAAAAACCAAAATCGATTTTGTCGAAAACTGATTTTGCGTATAAATTCTATGTATATTAATTTTTATGTTGTTTTTCCAGGTTTATTTTAAAAATATTGATAATTATAATTTTAACCTCCCCAGTGCACCAACAATATTCACTTCCCCATCGAACAAGATACTGAAGTTAAATAGAAGCATAAATAATAAACGACTAATGACTAATTATCGTGTACACAGACACAAAAAAAAATTTAAAAACACATTGTAAAACTAATACATTCATGTTTTGGAAATGTTATGATATATAAGAATACTAACACAAATATTCGGTGAAATTGATATTTTGTCAAAAACTGAATCAGTGTAAAAATTCACGTTTTTCGTTAATTTTTTTTATTACAAAAAAATATATAAATGCAATATTATGTAATGGAACAAAACCGAGCCACCAAACACATGGTGCACTCTGGTGGTGTTCCATCACCCAAATGAATGAAACAACCACCGCGCGCTCACGCAGTAATAACACGCCGCCGGTCAACTGTACAACACAGCCCATGCGAATACAACGCAAACTAGATAGCGCTGCCCCACGTCGGATTAGAAGTCCGGACGCCGCCCGCAGTAGAATCAAGTTTACAGTATGAAGCAAGCAGAATAGAAGTTTGAAGTAAACAAATTCGGAGTCAGCGTATTCCATACTATAATATTCATACCACTAGACACTTCAACACCTCATTGGAAGAACCAAGCAACCAGAAGTGTCCGTCAGTATTTTAATCGGGACCCGCCGCCACTGAACCACAGATATATAGGCCGCTGGCCACCGATTCATCGAATCAGTTCCCCTTCGCTGTAATACGAGAAACTTGGTACCGGACAATATCTAATATTGTAAGACGGACCAGTTTTTCGTATTAACTACCAGCACTGCCCTGAGACTCGGACGCCGGACGGTAAACCCGTAATACGGCGCTCCATGTGGTCTTCCCCGGCACATCCCCTGTCATCCGCCACCGTCCGAGTGCGTTGTGAGACAAATTGTGTACGTGTTACTGTACTGAGCCGCCACCGTTCGAGTTGAGCCGCCAGTCACCGCCGTGCATACGCCCTTTGTCCGGGAAGATCTACCGTCGACGTCTACAGTCCTACCGCCGCCAGCCGAGTCATCAGTCGAACCCGAACCGCCGTGAGTACGCCCCGTGTCCGGGAAACTACATCGTCGACGTTCCATTCATTATTCTACCGCCGCCGTTCACGCCGAGCCAGAATGAACCGCCGCGAGTAAGACATTTTTGCCCAGGAGGATTCACCGCCGCAGTTAGAGCCGAGCCGTCGAATCACTCAAACAAACTTCCGAACCACAACCGTGAGTTCTATGTCAAGCACATTCCCACCCCTTCATGTAACCCTAATAAATATTTTTTCTGTACACTCTAACGAGTATAACTCAAATAATTGTTATAAAAGAAAATATTGTAATACGAAACATATTAATTATGTCAAAATTAGATAATGAGCATATTGGTTCAAAATATTATATATTAATAAAACAATTAATTACCAACCAATAGCGTTTCATTACATGTGGCGCCCAACTACAGTGCTCGAATTTAGAAGAAAATTCCACTTCGACTCGAGATTAACATATTGAAGATTTTTTCTACGTCATTGTCTACATCGATTTGCAAAGAAGAAACTACATCGTGAACATGGCACCGAAAAAAAATATTACGGAAGAAGCGTTCCACGCATTTCAACACGAAATTGAACGAAACAGTCAGTACCTAGTTGACCAATTACTACAAAAAATTAGCAACTTAGAAGAAAAGTATATTAACTTAGGAGAAAAATATACTAACTTAGAAGATGAAAATCGGAGAATTACAGAAGTCGTAGAAACATACGAACGGAAAATTGAAATAATTGAAGAACAACTCAACGACGTAAAAATCAAATACGATCGCAATAACAGACAACCCGTGCATCATGAGTACAGCAATAAATCAGAACAAATGCACAACACCGAAATATCGCGTCCGATATTTTACGGAAACAATCGTGATGTCCACCCGAAAGATTTTCTGTACCGACTAGAAGAATATTTTGCAATAAAACAATCATATGTCGGTGAGAAAATAATTATTGTGGGTGACTGTTTAAAAGGAACCGCATCAAGTTGGTTTTCCACCATTCGATTCCAACTAACCAATTATGACGATTTCAAAAGGGCGTTCATAGACGAGTTCTGGTCTAGGGAGATCCAGATACCAAGTGTGGAGCCAGTGTTTGAGTACGAAACAAACACCAACTAACACCAACTATCGTGAACATTTTTCTATGTGGGCAACAAAACTTCGACACCTAGAAGTACCACGACTGTCCGAAAATGAAATAGTAAAACATATAGCAAGACATTACCCAGGATATCTACGGGCCATATTAGTGTCTTTGCCAGATTGCACAATACTCACGGCCATGAAAATACTGGGTGAGGAAGGGCAAAGTAGTCAACCCATGGAAAATAAAACGGATCACCAGAAAACAAACCAAGGTGACTCCAACAACAATAATAATACAAGTGGGCAGACAAATAGTAACTGGAAAAATCACCGAAGCAATGGATGGAACAATATGCTACCACGCAATAACCGGTGGAATAACAACCGAAATTACGACAAACGTGAGGACACCCAGCAACAGACTGAAAAAGTTAATCAGGTAGTCACGACGAACAAGGATGAACAAACAGGACCAAGTGGGGATGAGCAACACGCCATCAATTCGTTGAATACCACGAACAAGTCAGTTAGTCCGTATATACAGTGCACTATTGAGGGTGAAGAAATAACTTTACTCGTTGATACCGGAGCTACAGTCAGCGTCCTTACTAAAGAAGTGGTAGATGTTGTTACACAGAAGAACCCGAGAATACCACAGCTTCCAGTGACCGGCATACAAATAAGCAATGCAGTAGGAAAGAAAATCTGCAAAGTGTCACGACAAATTTTCTGTGAGTGTAAAATCGGAAATGAATATCTACAAACCAACTTCATCCAAGTTGAAAATTTAAACGAAAAGGGAATAATTGGAGCCGACATATTAAAGAAGTATGATGCTCAAATCAAATTTCGCGAACAGACGATACAATTTAGAATCAATAACAAAATACACACAATACCATTCGCGGGCCAGAAAAATCGAATACTTGGACTCCAAGAACCCCTACTCAACGTCGAAATTAGGGAAAATCCGGAGGACGACCAAGTTGAACTAACTGATACTGAAAGACAAACATTTTTTTCGGTACTCGACAAGTACGAAAAAATATTTTCGGAACAACCAGGGAAAATCGAAGCGTTTCAATGTCAGATAAGAGTGAAGCCAGGGGACCCTATCCATCAGCGGCAATACCCCATACCAGTAGCTCGGATACCAAAGGTGGACGCGGAAATACAACGAATGTTGAGATTGGGAATAATAGAAAAATCTACATCACCATGGTCATCACCCATAGTATGCACAGAGGAAAAAAACGGCGACATCAGATTATGTCTAGATGCTAGGAAAATCAACACAGTAATCATACCGGACCGGGAGTGTCCAACCAGTATGGAAGAAATACTTATGAAATTCCAGGGCATGAAGTATCTTAGTTCTATCGACCTGACGGCCGGTTATTGGCAATGTCCGTTAAGAAAGGAATGTCGGGAAATCACTGCATTTCTACACCGCGGTAGGAACTACCAATTCAAAGTACTTCCGTTTGGCCTAATCAATTCAGTAGCCGAATTTCAGAAAATTCTCGATCTGGTACTGGGACCCGAAATATTACAATTCGCGGCTATATATGTAGACGACATTCACATTACGTCACGAAGTTTTGAAGAACACATGTATCATCTTGAGTGCATATTCAAAAAATTAGAACAACACAACATTACCATAAACCGGGAAAAATCACAGTTTCTGAAAAGTCAAGTGATTTTTCTAGGACACATAATTTCGGAAAAAGGTATTACAATGGACCCAGATAAGGTACAAGTAATAAAAAATTTCCAACCACCCAAAACGAAAAAGCAAGTTCAATCGTTTTTAGGATTTATTAATTTTTATCGCAAGTTTATACGTGATCTGTCCCAGGACACAGAACAGTTGAGTGCTCTGACCAAAAAGGATACCAAATGGACCTGGGGGGCCAAACAGCAACATGCCTTTGAGAATATAAAGACCAAATTCCTAGAAGACATCATCATACAATTCCCAGACTTTACGAGGGAATTCTACGTCAACACAGATGCTTCAACAACGCATTTAGGAGCTGAACTATACCAACTCAGTGAAGAGGGAGGTCATCAGTCATTAGGTTTTGCAAGCCGAACCTTAAATACGGCAGAACGAAACTACAACACGACGGAGCTCGAATTGTTAGCTATCGTGTTCGCATGCAAAAAGTTTCGACACTACTTATTAGGGCATAAAGTGAAAGTAATGACAGATCACCATGCCTTAACGTTTCTCAATACCTGTCAGTTGTTAAATCCTAGACTAGTGAGGTGGTCAACTTTCTTACAAGAGTATCAATTAGAAATCATCCACGTGGCGGGCAAAGACAACGTTGGAGCCGACATGCTAACCCGCTATCCACAGTCACCAATCGAAGATACCTCTAACAATCCCAACACCATCATAATCAACAAGTTAACCTTACTCGATTACAGTCTAGAGTTACGAAAACAATTCAAAGAACTATCCACGCTGCAACAGACGGATGAGCACATACAAAAGCTCAAACAACGGTCAGAAAATCGAAAAGATCGCAATTTTATTACGCATAATCAACTGTTATTTAGAAAGTCTCGCAGTGGGGAATATCAAGTCATTATTCCAAAGGAGCTGGTTCAACCACTAGTGAAGGAAACTCATCAAATATATGGCCACTGCGGAACATACAAAACTTATCAGCAGTTACAAAAAAACCATCAATTCCAAAGCATGTACCGTACGGTGAAAAGGATCATAAAAACCTGTGACACCTGTCAAAAAGCCAAAATCAACAATACTACAGCAAGAGGACCAACGTTGAATATTCTACCAGGAAAACCTCTCGAAATAGTATCGGTTGACCTTATGGGACCACTACCCAGGGGACAAAGGGGATGCAAATATATACTCGCAGTCCTGGACATTTTTTCAAAATATATCAAGCTCTACCCGTTGAAAAGAGCAACCACCGATACAATTGTCAAGAAAATAGTGAGTGATTATATTCCTACCGTAGGACACTTTGAAAAAATTCTCACGGACAATGGAACTCAATTCACCAGCCAAAAGTGGAACCAAATAATGGAGGAACTGAAAGTGAAGAATATACACACTACCAGTTATCACCCGGAGAGCAACCCAGTGGAACGAGCAAACAGAGAAATAGGGAGACTGCTACGAACCTATTGCCACAAACAGCACACTAATTGGCTCAAATGGTTGGACAACATAGAATTCTGGATAAACAATACGACCCACACAACTACTGGATTTACCCCAGAGTACGTAATGTTCGGAAAAAGTACACAACTGTCAATCACCAAGTTAGTAGAATTTCCAGAATACCCGTTAACTAACGCCACACCAGACGTCGTTCAAATCGTAATGAAAAGAACCAAAAAACAGGCTCAAGTGAGGAGCAAGTACAAAGACCGAGGAAAGAAGTTCCCGACGTACACACCAGGAATGAAAGTCCTCGTAAAGGAACACCGTCTATCTTCCGCAGAGGATCATGAGATACACAAACTATTCCTGCTTTATCATGGACCGTATCGAATCTGTGCTGTACACAACAACAATACAGTAACTGTACAAGTCCAAGCGGAACAGCAGCGAACATATAATTACAAAAATATCAAGCCGTACCATGAGTGTGTACCAACAACTCAGGGGCCGCTCAGGGCTTAAGGTTAAAAAAAAAAAAAAAAAAAAAAAAAAAAAAGAAGAAAAAAAATATATATATGTAAATAATGTAAAATAATAAAAACAATGTAGATATGTCTGTGGCATTAATGTATATAAATTGCTTGTGAAATTGTGTAACCAGATTTAAATAGATAAGGCAAAACATACCTCATTTATCATTAGGACCCGAGCAAGATGGGAATCATAGTAAAGATTCCATTGACCATATTGCGCAGCCAGAAGACGGTTAACAAAATTGAGCTAACCAGCATTGACCACCTGCTCGAAAGATCACCGAAGAAGAGGATAGCGAGATTTTACCGGCAAGAGGAGGCCAAGCGAACGAGATACGAGACCGAACCTACTTGGAACCTACCACCAACCATCCAAGCCAGACGGCGAACCTCAGCAACCGGCATGACATGGGATGACTTCTTAAAACATTGGGAGAAGAATCCTGAAGAGAGTAAGCCTCTTACCCCTGATATTCCAGTCGAGGAGGTAACCACCCTCGAAATACAAAAGGAAGTAGGGTCTTCACCATCGACGAACCCTAGTGAGACCGAGTCCGACCTAGTCGTGGAAACCATAAGAGGGATGGTCCAGCACCACCATGGTTACTATGCGGACATTCGTCGAAGCTTGCTAGCCGCGCAGAACCACCTCAAGAACTTCCAAGGGATCTCCAAGACCCGGATGAAGAGGTTACTGCACCGCGAAAAGACGCAACATGAGAAGAGGATGAAGAAACATCAGCGACCATAAGTCACCACTACTTTTATCACTAACAGAACCAAATTTTAGTTTTCATTTATTTTTTTTTTATAATTATCAATATTTCGAGACTCAGCATAGGAACCCGGCAAAAAGAAAAAAAAATAAATAAAAAAGGGGACTATGTAATGGAACAAAACCGAGCCACCAAACACATGGTGCACTCTGGTGGTGTTCCATCACCCAAATGAATGAAACAACCGCCGCGCGCTCACGCAGTAATAACACGCCGCCGGTCAACTGTACAACACAGCCCATGCGAATACAACGCAAACTAGATAGCGCTGCCCCGCGTCGGATTAGAAGTCCGGACGCCGCCCGCAGTAGAATCAAGTTTACAGTATGAAGCAAGCAGAATAGAAGTTTGAAGTAAACAAATTCGGAGTCAGCGTATTCCATACTATAATATTCATACCACTAGACACTTCAACACCTCATTGGAAGAACCAAGCAACCAGAAGTGTCCGTCAGTATTTTAATCGGGACCCGCCGCCACTGAACCACAGATATATAGGCCGCTGGCCACCGATTCATCGAATCAGTTCCCCTTCGCTGTAATACGAGAAACTTGGTACCGGACAATATCTAATATTGTAAGACGGACCAGTTTTTCGTATTAACTACCAGCACTGCCCTGAGACTCGGACGCCGGACGGTAAACCCGTAATACGGCGCTCCATGTGGTCTTCCCCGGCACATCCCCTGTCATCCGCCACCGTCCGAGTGCGTTGTGAGACAAATTGTGTACGTGTTACTGTACTGAGCCGCCACCGTTCGAGTTGAGCCGCCAGTCACCGCCGTGCATACGCCCTTTGTCCGGGAAGATCTACCGTCGACGTCTACAGTCCTACCGCCGCCAGCCGAGTCATCAGTCGAACCCGAACCGCCGTGAGTACGCCCCGTGTCCGGGAAACTACATCGTCGACGTTCCATTCATTATTCTACCGCCGCCGTTCACGCCGAGCCAGAATGAACCGCCGCGAGTAAGACATTTTTGCCCAGGAGGATTCACCGCCGCAGTTAGAGCCGAGCCGTCGAATCACTCAAACAAACTTCCGAACCACAACCGTGAGTTCTATGTCAAGCACATTCCCACCCCTTCATGTAACCCTAATAAATATTTTTTCTGTACACTCTAACGAGTATAACTCAAATAATTGTTATAAAAGAAAATATTGTAATACGAAACATATTAATTATGTCAAAATTAGATAATGAGCATATTGGTTCAAAATATTATATATTAATAAAACAACCAATAGCGTTTCATTACAATTATTATCACAAATTTTTTTAATCCAGGAGGAATGAGTGGTTTTCGTAAAATTTACTTTTTGATAATTCAAATATTATAAATTATAATAACTTGAATATTTATTTTTGTATAAATGTTTGGAAATATAGCTGTTAGAAGTCTCATAATATTTTGACTTCCACTTTATAATTTTTAATTACTAATTCTAAGAATTAAGGTAGTAGTCTGATATTATTACTTCCGCTGTCCTAATTCGCAATCACTAATAATTATTAACAAGAAGTACGGTGTGTATACTTAAAACTCATTTTTTTTGGAGTAGGTAGTCATAAACCATAATAGTCATACTTAATTAATAATAATACCTAATTGCTTTAATTACTTTGAATATCGATTCAAGATTTTTTTTTTTTACATTTACGGAAATATACCATTATAATTTATAGCATGTATTATGTAGAGCAATACGAATTATTTATTTTATATGATTAGGTACCTACAAGAATTTATTATTGCTAGACAAATTATGCATACTTTGATGTTTGATGTAGGTACCTACTGTCTGAAAATATTAGAATGTCCGTAGTATAAACATAAACGTAATCTGGGGTAAATTTTTGATGGGCAAAATTTGGTAATACTCTGCCCCACTCCCCTAGATTACACCGATGGTAATTATATTATAAAAATGATTGAACACAAATCTAATGAGTTGTCCAGTCGGTCAGTGATGGAATGCTGTCTATGATTGCCGATCGCCTGATTATAATAATTGTATTTATTCATTATTGTAATTTCTATAATGTCAATAATCCATATTAATATAATAGTAAGGTTTATAATCGGCGCACAATCTATTTCTCGGAAGCGTCTGTCGTCGCCGATAACCTACCCACGTCCGCATAAGACGGTGAGACGGTCATTAACTATAGGCGTAGTGGGAGAATTCGCGACCGCCGCTCCGTCACAACGGCAGGCAGGTGGCAGTACATGATGGCAATGAAAAGTCAAATTTAACGACGTAAACATGCTGTCGAAAAACAAACGAAAAGCCATTAAAAAGTGGTTTCAGAGTAAAAACACCCATAATAAATTTTATAGAGAACAATATTTCGGAGCGAACCTCATCGGGGTTTTGTATTAATCTAAATACACAGCTAGATATCAAAGACAAAAAAACCTTTTTTTTAAATTTTTTTTAATAACTAACTTTTTTAATAGTTAATATTTTGAAAAACACCGATGAGGTTCCCTCAGAAATATTGATCTCTATAAGTTTCATAATAAGTATTTTTACTATAAAATCACTTTTTGATGCAGATTTGTTTGTTTTCCGTTTACGTGTTTTTTAGTGATGGGAACAATCGAGAGAAAATAATCGAATTGCTCGGTCAAAAATAATCGAATGAAAAATTAGTAGTTAGTAGTTACTTATTAGTAATTACTATTTTTATAATAACTAGTTTATACTTATTTTATAGTAGTTGGTATAGCTATTCGAATTTCGAACACTGAACCAGTAGGCAGTAATCATTCTTATCTACTAATCTACTATTCACTAATATTATAATATAATAATAACTAATACAGTAATACATATTTAAAAATACCCAGGCGGCCGCGGCGTGCGGAGTAGTATAACTATACTTTATTATTAATCTGTACTATCTGGAGACTGGAATTGTTAAGGAAATGGTTTCTATTATTATTTATATCTATTATAAATAATAATTTTGATCACATATATGGATTATTTTGGTATAATATACTATATTTTAATTTAATTTATATGTTGTGTCAGTTGTATCGTACATTTGTTATCGGTAGGTAGACGGTAATCGTTCTATTTTACGTTTAAATCGTCAGCGTATTTAGACTCCTAGTGACCTCATAAGTTATAAAAATTAAATAATATCAGTTTCTCAAATAATTATAATATAATATATTAAAGAAACAACTCGGTTTTTTTTAAAAAAGTTTAAAATGCGACCAGGTAGTAAGCAGCGTTCCACGGTGTGGGAGCATTTTAAAAAAAACGTTGATAAAACTACAGTTAGTTGTCAAATTTGTAAAAAAGATTTAAAATTCTATGGAAATACAACTAACTTGAAGGTACGTATCTAAATATAAAATAATTATTAATTTCTTTTTATATTGAATATTAGTAATTATATAGGTATAATTGTATATAATTATTTTATTGTTATATATCTTGTTTGTTTTTAAAAAGAGCACTTAAAACGGAAGCATCCTACTGCACTTATTATTCCTGCTTCTACAGCAGACGATCCAGATTCCGAATTGCATTCTATTGAGTCTATTAATAACTTATCGAATTTTCAATCTTCTTCAACAAATTCACAAACTGAATCTTCAACTTTAAATCAACCTTTAACTAAACGCTCGCGTCAACTTAAATTATACGGCACAACAAAAAATAATGAACTTACTGTAGCAGAAAATAATGAAATTGACAAATGTCTAGTAAAAATGATTACCGCCGATTATCAACCCTTGTCAATAGTTGAAAATGTTGGATTTTTAGAATTTATAAAAAAATTACAACCATTATACACACTTCCGAGTAGAAAATTATTGACTACCAAACTGTTGCCTGATCAATATAATGTCATTTATTTAAAACTAAAATATATGTTGGAAAACGTTAACGATGTATCAATCACTACGGGATATGTGGACATCAGATTCCACTAGGTCGTACATAACTGTAACTTTCCATTTTATATATAATGATTGTTTGTATTCGCCAGTTCTTGCGACTGAAGAAGTTAAAGAAAGTCATACCGGGGAAAACATTGCTTCGGCACTTTCAAACATATTTAATGAGTGGAATATTTCAAATAAAATTGTAACTATAGTTTCGGACAATGGTGCAAATATAAAACATGCTATAAATGATCACCTCCTAAAATATCACCACCCTTGTGTAGCACATACTTTGAATTTAAGTGTGAATGAATCTATTAATCAAAATACTGAGTTTCTCAGGGTGCTAAAAATATGTCGAGCTATAGTGGGTCATTTTAAACATAGTAATCTTGCAACAGAAAAATTAAAAGAATTTCAGAAACAAATTTGTCTTCCCGAGTTGAAAGTGAAACAAGACGTTAGCACTCGGTGGAACTCAAGTTTAAATATGATAGAAAGGCTCATCCAAATTAAAAATCCTTTATCTGCAGCAATGTCATCGCTTCGACGAGCTCCAAATTGCTTAACTTCAAACGAATGGGATATAATAACAGATTATTCCCCAATTTTAAAACCTTTCGAAAGTTTGACGATAGAATTATCTGGAGAAAAATACCCAACTTTATCTTTGGTAATACCGCTAGTGAAAGGCCTTCAATATACGGTTAGAAAAGTAAGACCAGAGACTGATGCCGGTATTTTACTACAAAGTAGTTTATTAGATGTTGTTTCGAGGAGTTTAGGATCTTTAGAAAAAAATAAAATTGTTTCAAAATCAACTTTATTAGATCCTAAATTAAAAAAACTGCATTTGGATTGGAAGATAATGCCAATAATGCTCAGCAAAGGTTAGTCGACGAGCTTACATCAATTATTTCTATTAATAATGGCGCAAATGATAATAGCATTGAAAATATAAACGAAACACCAGCTTCGTTAACTTCAACAGGGTCCTCTTATTCTTTATGGGATCATTTTAATCAAAAAGTGACAGAAGTTAGAAGTGTCATATGTCCAAATGTTTCTGCAACATTAATGATGCGTCAGTACTTAGAGTTACCCCATTTGCCTCGAGAAAAAAATAGTTTGGATTTTTGGAAACAGCACAAGATGATATTGCCCGAATTATACAAACTTCAACAAAAATATCTTTGTATACCGGCGACTTCAGTTCCTTCCGAGCGGGTATTTTCGAAAGCTGGATTGCTAACAAATGATCGTCGAAATAGGCTATCACCAAAAAATTTAAACTATATTATTATTTTAAATAGTAATTTAAATCTTTTATAAATAATAATACCTACAGACATTGAATTTTGATTATCATTATTTTAATTTTATATGCTTGACGGTAAAGACTAAGCATTGTCAGTTTTTTATTCACTTTATTTAATAGTAAATAGTATTTACTATTTTTTATTGTTTTATCTTGAAGCATTTTTTTTTATAATTTATAAATTATTATTATTCATCATATAAATACAGTTTTTTTAGATATAGTATTACAATTAATAATTATTATGTTACATATAATTATATTTGGCTAAACGTTAAATATTTAAAAAATTATTTAATATTATAAGTATTTTTAAACATATGTACAAACAAAATAAATTGTCAGTTGTTTTTCTTATAATATTATTTTATTTTGTTTTATTATAAAGATTTTATTATATTTAAAAATTAAAAAATAGTATGTATTTCAATTTTTAATGTTTATTTACATACTTTTATTGGCTTTATTGATTAATGATTATTGTAATATTGTCTAATGACAATCGAGCACGGCTATCTCGTATCTAATACTTAGCTAGTAAAGCTCAAGATTTATGTCTTATGAAGTAGATAGTAGTACTATAAAGTAAGTATTTTATTTTTATAGATCTTGAGTTAAGCTGCCGTATTATCGACCGTAAATTTGTAATATTATTTGAGTGATTCTTATCTATCGATTACGTCATGTTCTCGATTATTATATCTCGGCGACTAGTGACTATATAATAGTGACCATTCTCTCGATTAAAATAATCGAGTGAATTACTCGATTATTTTAATATCTCGATTACTAATCTCTCGATTATCGAAATCATTCGATTATTCCCATCACTAGTTTTTACCGCTGAAAATGACCGTTGTAGCGTCCTCTTAAATGCTTATTTAAACCAGACAATGATATATATTTAGCATCACAAACTTGGCAATTAAACATGGTTCTTAATTATGTGTAATTATATTTAATAATGATTGATGAATAAAATAAAATAATTTAAAATATAATAAATAATCAAAAATTCAAATATATTAAGTATATTACATCACGGACTAAGATAATATAATGGACTGGAAACGACAAGGTGGGCGGGTGACTGGGGGGCATATTAACAAAACGTACATGATTTCAGCACCAGCATAATTCTCATTGGTCGGTTCAAATCGACTTGTTTTCCCGCGCTAATAGTTATCACATAGTTATATATCTGTTATCAACAAAATATAACAAAAACTTGCAATAATAGTTTTCAACTTTTAAGTTTCTTTCTTGCATATATTATTAATTTTATAACATACTAGGTAATTAAAATGATTATTACAAACATCTTCCTACGTCATTTACTAAAAGGGAAGGACAACGTTTTGTCTGCAAGTAAGTGGATATTGGTTAAATATAACATGATGTAACGTTTTATGTCAAATTTGATTTTCTAATACTACCTAGTAGTTACCTATTTATCCTTGATTGTTGGATTGTGAATAAGTCATAAATAATAATATAATAATTTGTAATTGGCCCAGCCCCCCACATCAACATTTGACAACTACCACATATTTATAATTGTTTAGTAATGATTATTAATTTTCAATCAAAATTACAGATTATTGTTTGGTAACTGCAAAGCAATTTTTATTTTACAAACTATATAATGCCTTTTATTGTTAGAAATCCTTTTTATAACAACTAGATAAAGATGATAATTGTAAATATGAAACACATTTAATTTAACATAAAGTTACTACCTAATTATAAGTCTTGTAAATACTTTTTTTTATTTTACTTATTTTAAGTCGATTTCCTTAAATTATTTAATCTCCATATATTTATCACAATTTTTGTCGTACGTTTAACTCGCATCTGTCTGTTACACTGTATAATTACATAATTCACAAAATAATTATTTATTAAATCTAAAAACTAAAAAATATAAAATAAATTAATAGGTAAATTATAATTAGGTACATGCCTATTTAAAATCATTAATTGTTATATTTAATATTTAGTAATTATCCTAGTTTTACCTTTTCAAAGATAATTGTCATTGTTAGCTAATTAGTATAATTTCAATGTGATTTTGCATTTGGTTGATTTTTATTGATGTTTTGTTGTAAGTTTCTTTTACGCTTATTTTTTTTCGAATTTTCAGTTTTTGCTGGTCGTCCCACCACTAATCTACTACTGTCTCTAGTCACTCCAGGTCTTCGTCGACTTATTGATGTAGGTTGAACTCGTATTTTAGCTTTATTAGCATGACGAAGAGAAATCTGTTTCCCACAAGTGGACAAAAATGTATCCCAAGAGTTTTTGGTTTTGACGTTTCCAAGTTTTTTCAAAAATATATTTAACGATTCATTTTTTGATCCAAATTCGTCATTTTTGTGAACCATTAAATCTACAACGCTTTGAAAGTCCTGTTGTACAGGTTTTAATACATTATTTGTTATTAATTCTGGTTGTTTTTCATCTATAACAACTTTAATCATATTATTTGTATAATTTACATCAATAATTTCAGTATTATTTTCTTCAATCCCGTCTTGAGCATTTAATGAATTATAAAATGATAAAGGTTGAACTTTGTCTCCAAATGCTAAAACAGCCATATTATATCTACATTTAGCTGTAACTGGTGGTGCATTAGGTAGTTCTTTACTAAAAAAAAAAATATACTGCTGCTTGGTGTTTGCAAAAGGTCCCCAAATGACCTTGATAGCAAGTACAATACCCCAATGTTGCATTTACTTCATACATTTCTGTATCTTTTTCACTTGGTACTTTAAACATATTATTTTCCAATGATTCAATCATATCGATCGTTAGATACTTAATTTTTTTTTGTAATGATATTAAAAATAAACGTGATACATCACAACGACTATTACAAAACTTTCGAATATAATAATGCTCCATTACAGTACTTGTGAAATCCACTAACGAAACCACATTATAAGCTTTATTTCTGGATAAAACTATATCTTTATATATTCTGACACATATCTCGCTGAAATTGTTGGTTTAGTGTCCATGGGTTTCACAGTTTCTATAAGATAAAACCCATATTTCCTTACGCTTCCAATATAAATTTACATAGTTAACCCAGTTGGGATACTTGGCTACATTAACATTATTATTGCTGTCTATGGCATTTAAATAAGCGACTTCAGCCATTTCTACACTTGATGCCGTTAATATTTTATTAAACAATGCATACAAAATAGGGCGATCTAACTTTTCAATGTTATTTTCACTACCCCATAACCACCTCCAAACAGATTGACATATGTGGAAACGACACAGTAACTGCTTTGACTGTGGCCATACAGATTGTAATGCCTGTCTTTCTGCTTCACTGTCATCTGTTATGAATAATTTTGGAAAACATTCACCACCAAATCCATCAGGACCAACACAATTCTTAACAAATTCAAATCCAATTTTATAATCATTCATTGACTGGCCTTTAGTGATAATTACAGCTAATGGAACTGCACCAACAGCACATGGGGTAAGCATGAATGTAATAGAATGATTATGTGCATCACATGACGCTGTACTATCAGAGAATACTATGTCTTTTGAGTAAGGTAATTTATGTGCACGTTGCATCAGTGGTGTACAAATAACAACAGCAAATGGTTCTTCATTAATTAAAATCTTAACTCCTTTTTCTTCATATGAGGCTTTTTTTGACTGAAGTTTCTTCAATAAAAATAAAAATATTAGTCAAATCATAATAATTGATAGTAACTAATGGATAGTAAATAGGTACCTATTAAATAATAATAAATACCTACCTCTATTACGCCCTCCCCAATTCTTGGGCCTAGATTAAATTCTCTCCATACATTATGCCAATGCTGAACTGTTCTGTACTTTGGGTTTAGAGATGCATCAGCAATAACATATTCATCACCTTCTAACTCCAGCTTACCTTCATGAAATGTCATTGAGTCAGTTATTCCTAAATAATAAACAATGATATAAATTATACATAGGTAGTTAAGTACAATTTGAAACTTTAAATTAAAAAATAAAATTATTAATTTTGTAAAAACTAATACTTAACTAACCGAGTCCATCATTAAAGTAAGTTTCAAATAACTGCCTTGTATCAGGAATACTTCTTAAGTTCCCTAACGCATCAGCTGTGTCTAGTGTATGAGAATGATTCATATTAATATAAATTTCAGCAATAAAATCCTTCTAAATATTGAACAAACAATAATAACAATCAGAATTATTCAAAAAATAAAATGTATTTTTGCATTATTTATTATCTTATTTATTTTCTTACCTTAATATATTTATCTTTTTTTTTAGTGTTTTCTGTACACTTTTTAACTTTTATGGATATATTTGCTAGACAGTTAAGTTTTTTGATTTTCCTCTCTTATTTAGAACAGACACAACTTTTTTAAAACTACTATGATGACATACATAATCTTTTCTGAAAATCAATACAAATATATTATGTTAAATTGTTATATATATATTAAATTTACCTACATATTCAACTTACTTGCAAACAAAACGTTGTAACCGATACCAATAAGTCGACAAAGAGGTAACAGGTTTGAGGTTAATGGTAGGATGAGCAGCAACAAATGAAAATTGAATTACAATTTTATACAAAAAATTATGTAAAAAAAATTCACAATAAAACAACAATAAAAATCACATTAACTTGTACTGTTAAAAGTACTTAAACGATTATATATACATATAACTACTTAATGACGCATTACTTATGTTTATTACTTGATAACCATACATTATGCAAATTAACAATCAACAATTACTAATTAGGACAAATAGTAATAACACAAATAGTATAAGAAAATCAAATCAGACACACAATGTTCAATGTAACAAATACTTTGCCTACCAACATAATTAACTTGCTTATTAAAAAAAATTGTTCTTCCCTTTTGGTATATTAAATAACCTAACTTAAAGACCTAGGTAACTAAAAAGAAAAATCACAAAAAATAACAGTGGAATGAGTGTTTTCCAGGAAGCAAGTCTAAGTTTATGGGGAATCCAATACCTATATCATAATGGAATCAAATGTTAATAGTGTAATTTGTTTTTAGATTTATATTTTATGAGCATATTATTTTCTTGAGTTTGTGAAATAAAAATTGCTTTGCAGTTACCAAACAATAATCTGTAATTTTGATTGAAAATTAATAATCATTACTAAACAATTATAAATATGTGGTAGTTGTCAAATGTTGATGTGGAGGGCTGGGCCAATTACAAATTATTATATTATTATTTATTACTTATTCACAATCCAACAATCAAGGATAAATAGGTAAGTACTAGGTAGTATTAGAAAATCAAATTTGACATAAAACGTTGCATCATGTTATATTTTACCAATATCAACTTACTTGCAGACAAAACGTTGTCCTTCCCTTTTAGTATTTCTAACCACCCAACTTGTTTTTGTTTTTTCTGAAAACTCGTCTACCCATTCTTGGCAGGAATTAAAATCTTTTATATTAGATCGAATCTCATATTCCTCATTTTTGCAGCTTACAATTTCATTAATAAATGACGTAGGAAGATGTTTGTAATTAATCATTTTAATTACCTAATATGTTATACAATTAATAATATATGCAAGAAAGAAACTTAAAAGTTGAAAACTATTATTGCAAGTTTCTGTTATATTTTGTTGATAACAGATATATAACTATGTGATAACTATTAGCGCGGGAAAACAAGTCGATTTGAACCGACCAATGAGAATTATGCTGGTGCCGAAATCATGTACGTTTTGTTAATATGCGACCGGGGGATGGCCCGCAAAAGGTTCCTCTGTTATCATAAACTCTTATAATTGAATGTTTTCAGCGCTACCAGTGGTTTTATTTAGCGTCAAATTTTGTACCTCAGTACGTGTTTTATACAGATGGCACTGTAAGCTCTCAATAATGATTGCGACTCCACGCATTTGCCTCTTGTACATACTTTCAAGGCCACTGATAAGCTGCTCGTTTCCAGTCCATTATATCATAGAACAATATAGAAGCGAAACTCGATCAGCTGATGTCTGAAGTCCGAACAATGAAACTGTTTCTGTACACCAACATAATGTTATACCCGTATTGAAAAACCGTTTCCGCCTAATATTCTCGGGGTCGGGTTGTTTGCCATTTCCTATTACACGTACCCCCCCCCCCCCCCCCCCGGAGACCATGTTCAAGGCCACAATCGCCCGATTCAGCCAATTCACGGATTTACGTACCCCTGATTATATGCACAGAACAATATAGAATAGACACTCGATCACCTAACCTAACCTAACCTACGGTATGATGTATTGGACTATAAAAGTTGTACCGTATCCGTAACCTGATAGAACGTTAGCAACGTGTATACCTCTTTGTTACGGAATTTTTATAAACGTATACAAAGCAATGGGCATTTAAACATTTAACAATATTATTTCAATTTTGAAATTTTAATAGTTGAATTTGTCAATTTACTATGGTTGTAACTTGTAAAGTGTGTGGTATGCCCCAACAAATATGGGCCATTATCCCAAATCAGTTTCCATCGTTTTCCGATGTCGGCTGAAAGGTAAGTGCCTTTAATTTTGTACAAGAACTATAACAATCATTATCTGTAACAACACCTCCATCACCTATTCTCATTTTATTTTATTGGTTTATTGTCATTTAAAATTTAAATCATTATGTAACATTTTAAATACAGATGCAAGCAGTGGGCTATTTTATGTCGACGAAATGATCTGGTTGACGTGGAACCAGTTATTTGTTTTCGGCACTACAAATTGTGTTCAAGGCATTTTGATGAGTCACAGTTTATAGGGACTCGTCTGATTCCTAATGCAGTTCCATCAAAATTTGAATGGAATGGATATTTAAATGAACAACAGGAAATCACTGGTATGTTACTTTAACTAATTATTTTTAAATTAAAAAATAATATAATAAAAAATTCCTAATTGTATAATATTGTAATGTAAAGCTATTTCAATATTTCAGATGAATCTATTAAATCGGAACTAGTTCGTCCTCAGGTGGAAGTTACAGGTAATTTATTTTTTTTTATTAATTATATGCATTTTATAAAAAATGTATGTTAAATCATCTGCTAGGCACTTAATATACATGTATTATATATTAGTCCATTAGTCTATAAATTATTTTAATTTTTTATTAAATTTTTTTTAGAATATTGTTCACCAATTGATTGGTCACAGATCAAATCAACCTCAACCCCTAAGTGTAAGCATACACTTGAACTAAATTTTGTATTAAATCATGTGATAATGTAATGTAATTAATATTATGTATTATTTTATAGCAAATTCAGTTGCAAGAAGTTTAATTGGTTCTTACAATTCAACATGAATAAGGATTTTGTTTTAATATAAATTAAAAATTATAATGTAATTTTACATTGGTTTATTGTTAATGAAATAATATATTGTATTATTATTCTGTGGACTGATAATATTGGTATAATTTATTTAAATGATAACATATGCCACGCCCCCTTAGAGACCGTGCTCAAGGCCACATTCACCCGATTTTGCCAATACACAGAGTGTCTATACCCTGTTATATGTTAGTCCGTGATTAACGAATGGATCTTCGGAGGAAAAATTCCAAAAGAATCCAACATAGCGTCAAATCGGTTATCACATTTATCAGTACACATTTTTCAAACGGTTATCAGTTTATCACTGATTACGAAATATACTGCCTTTTTTGATTTTGCATAAAATCGTATAAGTATTTATTAATCGGTACCTAAGTTGTCTAAGTTATACTTATATTTTACAGCGTTAAAAAGAGTACAAGTTAACCGAGAAGCTCAAAAAAATTATGAAACGAAACTACATTTAAAGGGGGTCATTTCACCAATAAAAATTAAAAAAAAAGGTTAATCGATTTAATAATGTAGAGACGAATGGTGCTTGTCTCTGCGTTGGTGTTAAAAACTCTTCTGTCCATCTAAGCATTTATAGTCAGTAACTGTAATTGTTACACAATATTATGTATAGGTATTAATGATACCTGAGATCACATTAAATAACAAATAACAAATTATTAAGAGATTAATTGGCGACAAGTTTTCCAATAAGATTTGTCGCGGTCGTTATCGCAACGACCGCGGTGTCTCTATCGACGTCCGCGAGATCGCGACCGACAACCGGTCTGGCCGCCGCCTGCGGCACGGCCGCCGGCCCAGCCAGCGGCGGTGGCGACGGAGCATCTCTCGTCGGACCGTTGTCAACGCCGCACGCATATTATTATAATAATATTAACTATATATTACCTGTGCAATATACGTCGTAAGTACCTACTTAACGTGTTCGTCGTCGTTTGTTATTTACAACCCCTACAAACCGTTTCAAAACCTACATTGGCGCAGTCGGAAAAGGAGTAAGGTAAGTGCTAATTTTAATAAAAAATAATTTTACGTAAATTAAAGTAAATTAGCACATATCGGGTTAAAAGAACCTACAATAGGTGTCCTGATCATACCGGTTCCTAATGTTTTTTTTTTTTGTTATTCTGATTTTTTATTTTAAATAAAATATTAAGGGCTTGTCCAATCTAAGGTGGTAAATTGTAGCAAAATTTGCATAATTTAGCATAAATCCTACAGTGCTAAACTTGGTTTAGGCTATTTATAGATTGGAAAGTACATATCTCTACCAGCGATAGCCCGAGTTACGTAATCTCATATCTAACGTACTTTAATTAGGTAGATAATAGCAGTTAAATTTAATAATCACAATGGGTACGAAACACATTTGTGAATTAACTATTGCTGAGATTAACCGGGAGTTACATAAGCGTGGTATTGAGACCGGGGGGTCCAAGGCCGATAAACTCTTAGCATTAGAAGAGTATATTAGGGCTAAGGAAAATTTGGATCCAGGATCAGTACGGTTTGGGGAAACTGACGAGACGTCAGCCCAGGTACCGGAAGGGAAAACATCGGTGGCTCAAACTGAGGAGGATGAGGTCGACTCTGAAAAGAGTTTGATAAACCAGTTTATGGAGCAGATGTTAGATAGGCTGGAGGGGTTGGAAACAACGGTCGACAAGCAGCAACTGACAATCGCTACTCTCAGCGAGAGCGTGGAACGCTTGGAGCGGGAGTTAGCCGAAGAAAAGCTCAAG